CCCCCTCCGCCCTCGCGCCCGCTCTCGCCCGGCCGTGCCACTGGCGACCCTTTGAAAGGTGCCAATTGGCACCGGCGTTTTGCGCGTGGTTGTGCTGTGCCGTTCTGTTTGTATCGCGTGGTTGTGGTGTGCCGTGTTGAACTGTTGTTGGTGCGGCGTGTCGTACTGTTAGTTCGCCGTGGTTCTCTGGTAGTGCGCTTAGGGTTGAAAATTTCTCTAAAATTCCGGAAAATTTCCAGAAAATTCCCTAAAATTTCTGGAAAATAACTGGAAAATAACAAAGTCTAAGAAATTTTCCACTGCTTTTCCCCCGAAATTTTCCGTTTCCCTCGAAATTTTTCTGAACTTTACAAGGGCTTTCAAGCCTGGGTGCGCTGTGTTGCACCGCCCGGTGTTCAACAACTTGACATCCGTAGCGGTGTGCTGTGTCGTGGTGTGTTGTGTGTTGCTGTACTGGAGTGCCGTGTGGTGTGCTGTCTTATTGTGGCACTGCTCCTGGGGTGTGCCGAGGTGTACTGGTGGTGCAGTGTGGTGGTGTAGTGTGCTGCCGTGTGCCGAACTGTGCCGCGCTTCCTCGACCCCGCAACGTCAAAACGTCAGCCGTGCGCGACAGCCATGTAAGTAAACAACCGCGGCGGTTTTGCGCCCCGAAAGCAGAGTGTTGTTGTCGCCCCACTGTGGCGTCACGTTCAATATCATGTGAATTGTGTCGTCACATTTCTTACAACATGATGTCATATGACGTGACATATACCCTTGCATCGCTCTGCCCTCACGGGCTCAGTGCCTGGTAAGGCGCACCTATGTCACGTAACGAATTTGAGACGGTAACGAATGTAACACAATTCACATTGAATGTGACGTCACAGTATTTGAATGACAGTGATATCACGTCTCATACCGTAGGGAGCCCTTTGTTGACCCGAGAGAGTTCACTCCACTCCTACTTTGTACCACTCGCCAAACGTATTTGCCCACGAACAAGTGACTTTATACTTGTCATTCGAACGGGCCGTACTGGCTGCCAGTTATATCAGATCGAGTAAAAGCGTTGAAAGGGTTGTCCAAATATCACGAAATTTCAGCGCTACAGATAGTAGTTGTTCAGTTGTTCCACACAACTTGTCGAAATTTAAGAACAAAATTACATCAGATCTGGATGAGCACAAAAAACGTTGTCTTTAAGAGAATAAAACGGCCCCTTCGCATTTAGAGTGCACTATTCAAACTTGCCCGAAGTCGTCACTTCAAACCTACAATAATAAGCGCAGTTTCATGTTGACTGTGGTTCAATTCAAAATTTTAAGACTTGAGCTAATTTTTCAATTCGGCCAAGTATAGATTCCTTAACGGCAGTCAAATCTTGAACGACAATAATTGGCTCACGAAAACAGGAACGTTAATATTCGGCAAACTTTATCAGAACTGGAAACAAGCGTTGATCCTGCGATCCCTAACAAAACCAGATACAGGGTGGCCAGGGTGACCGCCCTGCCCCGTTGTTTTGAAAAGGCAGACTAGCCCGCTCGCAGACGGAGAGGGGAGGTGAGAGGGGACGGGAGAGATAGGTGCGGGCGGGCCAGTCTACCTTTTTAAAACAACGGGGCAGAGCGGCCACCCTGTATTGGCAATCTTTATGAAACCGGAAAATGTTTACCTGTCGGGTATAGAGGGACCTTCAAGGGACTCTGTGTTAGGGTTGAAAGCCCTGGAAAATTTCCGGAAAATTTCCGGAAAATTTCTGAAAAAAACGGAAAATTTCCGGGAAAAAATGAAAAATTTTCCAGATTTTGGAAAGTTTTCCGATATTTTCCGTATATTTTCGGAAAGTTTTCCGAAATTTCACCGGGAAATTTGGGAAATTCCCAACCCTACTCTGTGTCAAGAGGGAAGAAGGGGGAAGAAAGGACGCACAGGTAAGGTGCAATAGAGAACTCGTGAAGGGGGTGCCGGGGTGCCGCTGCCAAGTTGTACTTCCCGACTGCATCCGGGCCAGGGCGGGCCGCCCGCCCCGCACAGCTGCTCGGCGGGCTGGCCTACCCAGCGCGTCGCAGGCGCTACCATTCAGCGCTGTGCCGCGTCCTCGGCACCGACACAGCCGCGGTGTGGGGCGAGGCGAGGGTCCCCCCCACCTTTAAAACAGGTGTACTGCGACCTTGCACGAATTAGGCGTGAGTTTTTGGCGCGAGTTTTCCCGAGTTTTCGCGAGTTGGGCGCGAGTTGGGCGCGAGTCGGACGCGAGTTGGACGCGAGTCGGGCGGGAGTTGGGTGCGAGCAAGTGTACCTTCTACGAGTTGGCTCTTGGGGTGCCCAGGGGGTTGTCATTCCCCCCGCACACAACCTCCGCTGCAGAGAATCTGCTCAGTTGCAAAATAAAGTGCACTTTACGACAGGTGTTGTGTTGTAGGAAAGAGAACAATTTTATAGCCGGACCCGCGAGCTCATCTTCATGACCCCAGGGTCCTGGCTAAGTGAAATGTATAGATATAGCTAGGACCGGGGGCTAGGACAGTCTAGACCAGGTAGCTTAATCTTTGTCTAAGGAGCGTGAGAGTGGGTCCACCCTCCTGGTCGGTCGCACCGCACGCTCAGGAGCCGACGGGGGGTGGGGGTAGGGGGAGGCTGCCAGCGCTGCCAGACGCGGCCTAGGCGGCGAGCACGTCACCCCGCGGGGGCCCCCGCCGACTGAGCTAGAAGCCATTGACCGATGCCTCCCGCGAGCCGGGGCGGCTGGCTGCTGCTGGGAGCCGGAGGGTTGGACCCGTCCGCCGCCCCCCGCGCGCCGCCCTCCGCGCGCCGCCACCGCTCTCAACACCGGGCAGGCGGCGCTGCCAACCGCACGCGACCCGGGGCCTCCGGGGGCGCCTTGAGATCGTCTTGGATCGCCCGCCACGCCCAGAGGAGAGGGCGGATCGCGGAACAAAGGGGTCTCGTCCCACGCTCCCCCCGAGCTCCGAGGCCCGCGCCGCGCGCTCGACACCCCCACACACCGCGACTCCCTGCGCCGCGCCGGGCGAGGGGTTGGCAGCCGGGGGCCGCGCGCGGCCGTGGCGGTGGCGGGGATGCCAACCAAGCACACGGGGCCGGGGGGACAAGGTGCAGGGCGTTGAGTGCGGCGGCAGTGCAGTGCGCAGCGCGGGCGCGGCGGCCCGGACAGCGCAGGAGGAGGACCACGGCGTCCAGGTGGGTGTCAGGGGGGACAGGGGCGCAGACAGACA